TCGGAAAGGCCCGGGTCCCAGAGAAGTTTTGCTTTCGTATTAGAGAAGCAAGCCAAGAAAAGCAAAGACTGCAGGAGCAGCCGGGCCGGCCCCGGGTGCTGGCTACAAATGTGGTGCCTTTTTATAAATCTTACCAGTAGTGCAAGCAGATCGTAGAGCTACATTAGCTCATGCTCGTCGATGTTGCGTTGCCAGTGCATATGGCAGGGCATTTTTGGTCTTTTGGTCGTTCTTGATAAACCCAAGAGCATGGCGATGTAATAATTGTCAGATGCAGGGAGGCAAGACGGAATCTTTGCAACAGTTCAGACAGAACATGACCACAGCTCTTCCCGATTCCTCCTCTATAGCACACGTCGGGCTCAACTGCTTTAGGCTACTGTACAGTGGCCGTCGCCCGACGGTTTCCTGCTGGGAATTTGGTCGGCAGGATGAAAAGATGCTTTGCCGGGATTGTTGGCGCCATGGTGAGCCTGCTCCTGTCCGGTTGTGGCAATGATCCTCGAAAACCTCCTGAGACTCATGCACCCTACCTTGGGGGGCAGTGCAACATTCTAACTGGTTCATCTTGCAACCCTGTTCAGATGCCCCTCTTCACAGAAGGTTCCTATGCCCCAGCATACCTATTCCGTGTTAGCAGCGATCGTATCGTCACAGACAATACAGAAAGGATGGATGGAGAAGACCAGGTCAGCGTGGACACTGAAATTTCCGAGGTGTCCACATCTACAGCAAAGAACCTCGGGCTCTCAGGGAAGCTTCCTGCCGGAGGTGGGGTTGTCTTGCACTAAAATCTCCCCGGTGCCCCGCTAGGACTTAGGAGCCCAATACCAAAGTAAAGAACCTCTCGGAACGGAAGAACCCGAATCTGGAGCAGAATCCAGGTGGTCACGTCGCCTTCTCAGGAGGTGCAAACTTCCGCTCTCTCGCTCAGACCATGGATGTTTACAACACCCAGAAGTACTACTCGCTTATCAAGCGCCGGTACATCACGCATTCCCAGTTTCTATCTTCAGATGCATGGAGCGCCGCCGCTTCAAGCTTCCAGGATGCTGTGAAGCACTTGCCCCGATCTCCCAAGAGCGATGCCGAATATGCCCAATGGTTCCAGTTTTTTGAGAAGCATGGAACGCACTACGTCAAGGAAGTTGGGTACGGTGGCACGCTGAGGATGTCTGCATTTGTGAGTTCCGAAGTTCGCTCATCAAAAGTCATACGACAAAGTAGCTGGGGTTTCTTCCTGGGTGCAATGTTCAACAAGAAGATCGGTGCAGATGTCCGATACAACGAAAGCCACACGCAGCAACAGATGGATGAGTTTGCCTCCTACACGTCTGACGTAGTGTTCCATGCAGTGGGCGGTGACCAGACGCAGTCCAAGTATCAAGACTGGCTGCGCACCGTGAAGGAGAAACCTGCGCCGGTCAGGACTCTGTTAGGCTCTGTGGAAGACTTCATTCCGGAGTCCATTGAGTTCAAGCAGATCCTGGAGAGGTATTTCAGTCGCTGTCCGCACACTGATTCCCTGGGAGTGTGCAATGGGTACGGTCTTTGCGACTTTTCCAATGGTTCTTGTGAGTGCCAAGTCCAAGGTGCTTACAAGGAGAAAGACGGACGATGCTATCCTGTCTGCCGTGGGAACTGCTCCGGCAACGGGGTGTGTTCTTTGGGAAAGTGCAGTTGCTTTGTCGATGGGGTTTACAACATCGGGTACACTTCCTTACCAGGCAAAGAGCCATGCTCCACAGCCTGTGGATCACATGTCTTTGATGCCGGCAGTGGAAGGGTCTGGTGCCGTGCTGGCGCTTCGCGGACCAACTCCGAGTGCGAGGTCCTGGCTTACACGAAGCATGAGACGACATCCCCAACATGCTGGTGCCAAGAAGTTCTCAAGCACCACCATGGCGTCGACATCGTGGGGGAGTCCGACCTGCCTGACGACCAGCAAGGAATGGGGCATGCACAACCCTACAAATTGAACTCCCTACACCCAAAACTCCGAATCCTACCCCGGATCCCGAAGCCCTGAACCCTAAACCCTAAACCCTATAAACCCTATCAACTTAAAAGAACCCCGAAGAACCCCGAAGGAACGGGGCACGACACCTTCGACTGTGTCGGTGAGAAGGCCTGTAAAGTTGACATCTGGCCGTGGTCCACATGCCCCGCATATCAGGTCATCAGGCCGGGGTCCCTGCAGCTTTCTTATAGGATTAGGGTTAGAGGCATCGGGTTTTAGGATTTAGGGCTTAGGGTCTAGGATTACAGAAGAGCATTATAGGGCATCATCAAAGGAAGAGAGGGTTTCATCCGAAAAGAAACGAGCCCAGAATCCAAGACCACAGCCCTAAAGCTAGAAGCTTAAACCCTCAACCACAGTTGATGATGTAAATCCTGCATTGCCCATCATAAGGAATATACCATAACTCCCATAGTTTAGGGTCCTTAAGGTAGTGCAGGATTTATACCATCAACAGTATCTGAGGGTTTTGGATTGCCTGGAGCCCGAGGGATGACCCACAGAAAGTTAAGGGTCTACAGGTGTAGAGTTGTATACACCAGTTTTCACGACCTTTGGGGTTTAGGGTTTAGGGTTTAGGGTTTAGGGACCTTTGAAAGATGTATTTTCCGGCTGTGTCAAAGGGGTCTGGGCTTCTCCGATCTGACGGTATCACTTTCACGAAAAGTTGATGGACCTTGACCCTGATCCTGCATCCCTGAACCCTAAAGCCTAAACCTTAAGGGAGCCTTCGAAGCCTCGGCCCCAATCTCCAAGCTCTACCCTCAACCCCACATCCTAAACAACCAGGACATTCTATAAGTCGGCAAGAACACCCACAGGTGCCACCATGGTGCTTCCGATTGTCCAGCTGATGCACCTCACCAAGACTTCCCGCGCAAGGGGGTTGTACCGACCAGTATCCTTGCAAATGGCACGAAACCAAAGCAGGTTGTGGTCTGACAGTAAGCTGCAAAGTGTTTGCCTTGAGTCTAAGCTCTAAGCAGCTGCTGCCGAGCTCACACGAGGTCTGCGTAGAGGAAAAGAGTGGGCGTGGGGTGAGGGGATTGGAACTGAGATAACGCCGGAGTCCCATACCCAGGTGGTTCGCATCTCTCAAGGCTTTGTGAGTTCTCCCGCAGTTGCAGTGACTGTGCAGCGCGTGCGGCTTTAGGCTTTGTGATGTGAGTGCCACACAGGATCTCAGCTGGACGGGATTGGCCGGAAAGGCTCCGTCGATCCGAGCTTTGGCCCTTGGCCTTGCACCAGAATCCCCAGCCTACAATCCTTAAACCCGAAACCCTAAATCCGAAACCCTGACCCTTAACTTCCCTAAAGCCCTCAAGCCCTAAACCTCTATGCAGGTTTTGGGATTGTTTCTTCTGCTCTCTGCTCTCCGCGGTTTTGGCTCGGCTCACATTCGGCGGCAGCTGTGGTGGCGAAGCGAAGAAAGGGGATGTCCAGGTCTGGTTCAGGGTTCAGAGTTGAGGGTGGTTTTTTTTTGGGGGGGTGAGGGTCGGGAGCTCTTGGGGAGTAGGGTTGTGGCTTGAAGGTTAGGGTTGAGGGAGGGGGGATTTAGGGTTGGGGGTTCAGGGTTTAGGGTTTAGGGTGTAGGGTTGAGGGTTCTCATTCTGAGTAGGAAGGAGGGACAGTGTGAACCAGTGTTGATCAGGTTAGCTTTGCTCTGATTGTTGCGGTATCAGTGCAGTTTGAAGGTTTGCAAGGAATTTCCAAGCCGCACTCTCGAATTGGTGCAGAGTTTCGAATTTGGATTCATGGTGAACGCTGCGATGAATGAGTGTTTCTTCCTAGAACACCAAGCATCTCACCATTATTTTGAGAGGATTTTGCAATTGTTATGTTTTGCACTATTCATTGCCCCTTCCTGCTGAAACGCGTCACAACATCAAACCTTGCGGGACCGCTTGTGGAGGGAAGAAGGGAGCAGAAAGGCAGCATCGTGCGCACACTATACGTCAACCTTCAACCTTCATTCCTCCGCTTTCAACATTGAATGTTAAGCGCCAAGCCTGAAATCTCAGTATTTTGTGTCGGCAGGATGGAGGTAGACTCTGCCGCTCTGTGCTATCCCCCGGTGCCAGCAGCCCAGAGCTGACCTACTCTGGTTAAAGCGGGTTGGCCTTTCTGAAACCCTGAGTTCTAAACATTTTCGCTATTGACCGCTATTGGAGCATTGCAGGTGTGTGGCAAGAGAGTGCTTCAATGTTTCACGGGTCACTTGCCGTTCGTTGGGCTTGAAGTCCGGAATCAGGGGTGGTTGTTGTGACGTTTAACACGTGGTTGCATGCTAGTGCAGCTGCTTTATCCCATAAATCTGTTGACCCCACACCCGCTTACAGATGATGTTGACGTCTTGGGCCTTGTGCCTTACAGGGATCCAGGAATTGGTAGCTGGGTATCTTCATCATTGCACCCCAAACCCTAAACCCCAAAACCTAAATAAACCCTAAACCTTAAACACGAAACCCTCCAACAAAATACCCGAAGCCCTGAGCCCTAAAGCCTCCCCAGAACCTAACTATACCCTAAACCTTAAACCCGAAACCCTCAAATAAAGCCCGAAACCCTGAGCCTAAAGCCTCCCCAGAACCTAAAGAAACCCTAAACCTCAAACCCGAAACCCTCAAAACAAAACCCGAAACTCTGCGCCCTAAAGCCTGAAGAGTAGCATTGGTGAGGTTGCACATCTTCGGTCGGGCCGCGGGGCGTGAGAACACGGACATCTGTGGCGAGCAGCTTGGCGGAAGGTGTATATGAACGTTAGGTCAAGGACTTGGGGTTTAGGGTTTACGGCAGTGTGGTTGGGGGTTTCTTAACCAGTTCTGGATCGTGTACATGAGCTTCTGTGCCACAGCTTGCTTGTGTAAGTTTTGTGTCGACATCGCTGCTGCTGCTACCGCTACTGCTAC